TATATTATTATTATTTAATTTTTTAAAAAAATTGAAAAATATAGATTTATTACCATGTAGATCTATTAGAAAAAATTATATGCATTTTTGTTAAGTACGTACGTACTAGCAGAATGATCTGGTATTGTAAAATAATTTTTTTATATAAATACTTATAAAAAAAAAATTTTGAATTTACTACACCTTTAAAAATCTTACAGTAATCATCACTATATGTCGCTAAAAGAAAACCCGACATTTAAATATAAGTCATATTTAAATTTTCAGGTTTTCTTTTAGCGGTACTCATTATATTTGTAATTTGACCAATGATAGACACCCCAATCTCGCACCTAGTGTGTTTGGCTTTGACGTTGAATGAAAAACATTTTTATTAACATTAATATACTATATGTGGTCGTTGTGATTAGGGCCACCGTTAAAGTGTAGAGGGATAGAACCTATAAAATATAACAGTTAAGGTTTGGAATTCTATATACGTATATTGAAATTTTGTTTGGTCATTTTCCTCATTCAAAAAAATATAGGTTGCTTATTCTTGAATATTATAGGTTACAGGTCAGCCAATACTATTTTTATTGTAGTTCGAAAACATAAGATTCCTGACTTAAAATTTTTGATCTTGGTGTAACTAGTGTCGATATAGATATTGCAATACCAAAAGATTTGGCTAAGTGATTGATGTCGATATATGCAAATTCAATATTACAACAATCATTTGGTCGAAACAGAGATTTATTTTTTTTAACTATGTGCTTTATACTAATCGATCAATCCGATGAACCAAGATATAGGGTTACCTTTAATTATAATTACCTGACAAATCTCGATATTAAAGATAATATATTAATTGATGATAATGATCAAAAATCAGTTATAAAACATACAATCTCAAGAATTAAACAATTACGTCCACCTTGTGAATTAACAGATGTAATGATTGAATTATACTCGTTGGTTCCGCTTTCTCATCCGGGTGAAAATTATCCATTTAAAACGTATAACCCTCCATGACGTCGTCAACTTCGTGATGTTGATCCATTATCTGTCCCGCCTTGGAAAGATGATAGAATCGTTTTGTTAGGTGATTCAGTTCATGCTATGAATCCACGATTAGGATTAGGTTTGTGTTTATTAGAAATGTCATTATAAATAAAATTTAATTTGTACTTATTTTCATATATATGTATATATTTTTTTTTTAAAGGTGTAAATAATGCATTACAGGACGCCGACCTTTTGACCAAGAAATTACTTAATTATGAGAATGACAATTTAACCTCGTGCATTCAACGATACAACGAACAAATGCGAACTCAATCATCTAAAGATGTTATGGCATCACGTAGCAGAGTACTAAGGCAACGAAATCCAGTGGGAAATTTTGGACTATTTGTTAGATATTTGATTTTTAAAATCAATCACTTTTTCCTTAACATTATTGTATTTATTAAAACCCGTACTTAACTTATTATCTGGAGCGAATCAAAGTGATGCAAAAGTTACGTTTTTTGATTAACATTACATTATCTGTTAGTTAATTATATAATTGTATCAACAAAGTTTTGAATTCATGTGTTTCTATTATATTTGTACTTTAGCATAACGACTTTGGTATGGTTTTTAAAATTGTACTTAATCTTCGCATATATCGCATGGCATAATGCAATTGCATGATATTTGAAAAACAGCAGAAAGTCATGTTGGTATTGGGACAATCTAGAAATATGGACAATAAATTAACATGACATTAGTCGGAACATACAAAAAATTTAGTGTAATTTTGATCAGTGGCAGTCAAATTTTCATAATTCGCATAATTTATTACATAAATTGATTTGTAAAGCAGATATAATTTGGTCAGTTACAGCAAATAATGAGGGAATCTAAATCAGACCTGTACTATACGACTACACCAGGCTAACATGCTGTAATGGCTATGCAACTCTATTGTTCCACAAAACGTGGTTTTTTCACGCTTTACTGATACGTAGTTACTTTAGCCTCTGGCGATCCTGTATTTAGCTGGTATCTATTTTATAGTTTATAAATTTTAATAGATTATTTGTATGCATTAACATGTTTCTATTATGATTTTAATCATAAATGCTATGACATTATAGTTACCCATTACGTAAATAAAGATTATCTAATCATTAAATTTTAAGAAATTACACTTATTCAGTGGTGAGTAGGTGTGGCAACTTCTTAAAAATGGGCGGCTCCATAATTTATTAGTGAGACTTAAAAATGTGTAGCTTCACAATTTATTAGTGAGACTTCTTAAAAATGGGTAGCTTCACAATTTATTAGTGAGTAGGTAATAATTTCAACAGGGTTTTTTTGTGATTTCAACAGTGTGTTTATTATTTCGGTGGTGAGTAGTAAAAATTTAATGGTTTTTAATTATGAGTGTTTGTTTTTGTAATATATATTTTGACACATAATTATTTAGGATTTATTATTCAACATCTAAACTGTACAAATATTTTAATGTTACTACATGTCAATTAAAAAAAAAGATATGTTCCCATGCCTTCAACATGGGTTATTTGTTATTATATATAGTATATAAGTTGTTAATTTATATTGATTTTGAATTTATACAAATTATTTTAAATGGCATAATTTTCAAAACAATACTCATGAGTGTGGAGATTGTGGAAACTCTTTCCATAGATTACTTTACCAAAACTGGAACTAAAGAAGAAAAACTTTCAAGGCGAATAACATTAAATTATACTAAGTAAACATATCTTCAGCCTCTAAGTAAACTTGTTCGACACCCAAACTAGCATATAGAGAATATATACTAGTGGTTGCAAGACCCTTCCTGCCAACACCACAGGTGGAAAATAAAAAAAGCAGCCCTTAGGCAAACTTTCACTTTTCTTGCAGAGTTGGTCCTATGGATCCTTCTACAACAACTAATGTTGCAACTAGCAGCAAGACTACAGTAACTATCAACAATAACCAAACTTGCACAGAACTAGAAACAACTACTTAACAAGTATCACTAACACTAGCTCTTCTAGTGGCTTCTCTTTTACTAACGCCTTAACCTATCTCACTAGCAAGTCAAATTCTAAAACTACAATATCTACTATTTCAATCAAGCATGTTATTACTAAATACATAAAAGAATTTGTTGACATTAATATTAAAGACTGGTCTAAACTCCCATTCATTATTACCTTTAATATTCTGGAATTCATCAACAAATTTCTCTTTACTGTGGAGTTCTCTCAGTCTAGAAATACACCAAATATGTTTAAATTTCCTACACAATAGATATGCAAATATAGTGATACAACTAAATCAATCTTATTTGATTTTATAAATACCAAAGCTCCCATAGCTGTAATATAAAATTAATAATTAAAGCATATGAGCAAGTACAAAAGTCATACTATACACCAAAATATCTTAATTCGTAATTTGTGAGTAAGGGAAAGACTATGATTAATAATTGGCAGGGTGTATTTCATATCAAAACAATCAATATCCATAATCTGGAGCCAAAATTAAAATTTTTTGATTTCTGTCAAGTTAGCATCTTTTGGTTTTCTAATAAAAATTGCAGAGAAAATTTTTCTCTTTTTAATAGTGGTAAAATCATCAAAAGTAATCTAATAGATCATGAGATATTGCTATTTCCTCTTTGTGATCATATGAAATTTCTTTGCAGATCGGTAATGAAATTTCATATGATCGCAAAGAAGTAAATGGCAATATCTCATAATCTATTAGATTACTTTTGATGATTTTACCACCATTAGAAAGAGGAAAATTTTCTCTGCAATTTTTATTAGAAAACCAAAAGATACTAATTTAACAAAAATTGAAAATTTTAATTTTGGCTCCATATTATGGATATTGATTGTTTTGATACAAAATGCACCCTGCTGATTATTAATCATAGTTTTTCCCTTACTCACAGATTACGAATTAAAAATCTAGCATTTATTCTATATAATTTGATTTAGAAATTGATATAGATGAGAACACAAACCAAAATAACCCTGCAGGTACTATAAAGATTACATCAAAAAACAAAGACAAAGCTAATAATTATTCTATTAAAGGTTATATACAAGCAGAATATCTGCTATAGCCTCTAGCCTATACAAAACAAACAAATAGTTAGCAGCCTAATTCAACATATCTGGGCATAATATTATTTACCAAAATATTTATATATCTGCTCAAATAACAAAAAATAGCCTAGATTTATACCAATCAGTACTATTACTACTAATATACTAATATCACAATTACTATCAACAGTCTCATCTATATATATAGCTATTATTATAGACTTTATCAAAATAGTTAAACTATCCTATAGCCAAGTTATATACAAAAACTTTAATCTATCTATCTTTGAGATACCTAATAGTACTGCATAAGTATAACAAGTTGCAAGCAAAATTGTACAAGATACAAAATATTTATTTGATCAAAATAACTAGATATATAATATTATAGCTACTTTACTCCAAACTCCTAATAGTATATACTGATTTGTGCAATACAAAATTGGCTCTACTTTTACTCAATTCAAACTACTCTTAGCAATTTATCTAAAATTTAAATATCTAGATACATGATTCTTTACTACTTTTTCTAAAAACCCTAAAACTATGTTAGCATATCAGAAAGAATATATAAATCTATATAATATTATACTAGCCAATTACAAAACTAGCAACTAGCTTATAATTATAAACTGTGAGATATGCAAAACTATTTACACAATACTCAAGAGGATACTTATTATATAGTATCTCACTAATATAAATTTTATTACAATTAGCCACTTTGCAATATTTAAACTAATTTACTATATATAAATTTCTTCAAATTCTAAATAAAAATAATAATACTCCAAAAAAAATCAAGAATATTATGCTTAAAGCATTTTAAGACAAACTATATTCTCTTTCTACAAGCTCTAATCTTATACAAAGATATCTTACAAAAAAATTTTCCTTTATACTTCCAATTAAACAGTTATTATATACAACAAAAATTGTCAACTATTTGAGAAAACTCTTTAAGTTTAACAAATTATCTGATAGTTATTTCCAGATATTGCCTACTTTACCTGCAGATATAGCTAACTTATAGCCTTAATTACAACAATACTTTTTATAACAAATTGCTAATCTCTTTTGTACTTATTATTTTATAAACACAATTAACAAATTACTATATTTGTGAATTTATCTCACTCTTATACTTCCAGTTACTTTCTTCTAAACAACTACTATCTACAATATATCATAAATTAAATTCAAGTATTAGAAGATTCTTCTTTTATAATCCAATGCTAATTCAAGCATCTCTATCTAAAATAATTTATTAACTTTGACAATATTATAGATTCAGCTTTCTTCTAAGTGACTAATTTGTAGTTAAGCCATTACTCTCAACTAATCTTAAACAGATTACAACACAAGATTAATATATCTATCCTGTTATACAAAATAATATTGCTAAGATATTCATCAAAAAAGTTTAGCAACACTATAGAACATGCTACCTTTTTTTAACAATATTATGCAAGCTAATTTTACAACTAAACTATATCTATCTAGCAGTGAGAAATTTTCTACTTAACACAATATTAGTACATCAATTACTATTTTATAACAACTTATACAAACAGTTAGACTGTTATAACAACACTACTATTTCACTCACCTACTTGCAAAATAGATTAATATATTTACATCTAATACAATTATAGAGATAAGTAAAGTTTTTAATAATAGCAATACATAGCTAGCTAGCAAATCTTTATTACTATTATCTAATAATTTCTTAGAGATTAATATTATTTTAAAAAGTTATAAACTTTTAATAATATTGCTAATTAGTAAACAAGCTTAAATTATATCTACAATAAGAATATTATTATAATATTTTAATATAAAAATGATTTCAGACTTTTTACTCAATCTACTCCTACTACTAACCTCATATAGGATATTTTTATACACAAATAGCTAATTAAAAATACCAACCATCGACAAACAATATAGCTATAAATACTGAATAACTCAACTATACTCTAACCAATACCAAAGCACAAGATCAAATCATCTAATAGATAATATAGACTCTTCAAGCCTAAATTACACCTATTATTATAGAAGACTTTAATTAAAATTTAAACAGAGCACACAAATTAGCATTTTATAGCTATTTATTAACTACTAGTATATATTTACTATCTATCTGCATCTACTTGGCAGTAAGCTAATTTATCTAGCCAAATAGATAAAATATAGATTCTATACCAGATATTGTATATTACAATACAACCTACTATAGTACTAGCTACTGGTATTTCTAATAATGATTATTATTCTATAAAAAAATTTTGAAATCATATTCAAAATTTACTCAGTTTATTTTTTTAAAAGTTAAGCATTTTCTGTAACAAAAATCTATATAAAACCTTCAAAATTTTTCTAATTTTCTGAATACTTTCAAAATCTTGTTAATTTTCTAATTATAATTTATATCAAGCAAAAAATTATAATAAGATTTTAAAAGTATTCAGAAAATTAAAAAATATTCAGAAAATTTTAGATTTTGCATTAATTTTTGTGCTCATCTCTTAAAAAAAATCTGAGTAAAGCCTGAGTATAATTTTAAAAAATTTTTTATAGAGTTATATAATCTCTACTAATATACAATATAATTTTACTCAATTTCTATAGCAGAAAAATACAAGTTCAAGTATACAAATATATTACAATAACTACTGATAGCTAGAATAAATTCCAACAGGCAGTATACAATATTATCTTATCACTAACAGATAAAATTATACAAATACTTTTAATAAATTAACTCTGGTATCAGATTAATAATGCTATAACAAAAGAAGCCAAATTACATATATCTTTTATATTCAAATCTCAAAGATAATTTAAAATATTTTTTGCTATAGCAACAAAGTTTTACATAACCTTAAGCTTATATAGCAATATATTACAAAAGCTGGTTAAAATATAAACTCAACAAGACAAAAATTCAAAAAACTTTTTACAAACTATTAATACTATTAACTATAAGCTACAAACAATATAACAACTTACTAATTATCAAACAATAGTACTCACAATACATAATATTAGTAGTTAACAAATTAAGTCAACTATTAATATTCTTAAAAAACTAAAAAAAAAGTTTATACTATACAAGAGAAATAAAAAACAAAAAAGTACTTAACTAGCATATTAATACTTAGATATAAAAGTATAATAATAACTTTATAACCAATACAATTCCATAATTAATAGCATAATTAATAAACATACTGATCTAGTAAGTTTCTAAACATTTTACTTACAGACTCTGTAATCACAAAACCAATACAGATTTGTAACTATATCAGAAATTATTTTGCAAATTAGATCAATTCTAATCTATACAACTTACAAGTATAAAAGATATAAAAATCTAAATATAAACTACAGAGATATATTATACCTACTTGGTATAAGAACCTCAACTAACAAATTACAGCTAAAAAAATAATTAGTACTATTAACAACTTACCAAACAATGAAACAATAAGTTCATCTTTCATATCTAATAAGATATTAAAATATATATATCTACAGGTTATTAAAATTCTTACTGTACTATTTAACAAATATCTTAGCTCTTTACAGATATCAAAGCTTAAAAACAAAACAAAATCTATCTAATATCCAAAAAACTAGTATTTTTTAGCCAACTTAATCATACCAGACCCACTACTTTACTTAAATATATTCACAAAATATTTATAAAAATTATTATCTATTACATAAACCAAATTATAAGTTGCTGCCCAATACTTAACCTACAAAATTTTGTTGCAATTCTATTTATATTCATAGCACAATCTATCTATATATATACTAATATCCTACAGAAAGCTTAAATACAAAACAAAGAGTTATAGTTTCTCTCTCAAGATATAAATAAAGTATATTACTCTATATATATACCACTACTTCAATATGTACTTAATTATATTTACATCTCCAATACAATCTAACAATTTATTATCAACATTTTTCTAAACTACCAAAACTCATTTATTACAAACCTTTGCCCTATGCAGTACTATGATGTACAAGATAAAATCGACCAAAAAAAGGCAATTATACCACTACTCTAATACATATATTATGATCTTCTCATTACTTATATTTTAACTAAATTTACAAGATATATAATATTTGCACATCTATTTTTATATAACTTGATTATTTACAATATCTTTATATTAGCCTATATTGATGATATCTTATAGCTCATTCTAGCAAACAATATCTACAAAATATTGTCGATATTACAACTTTCTTCTAAAATATATTTTATATTACTATAAACTCATCAAAATCTATTTTAGCTACAAATAATACTATTGATCTCATACCAACTATCTATTTTGCCAATATGATTATTTTGCTACTTCTAAAAAAAAAGTATTCTACTACCTTAGTTGCTAGTTTGTTACTACCAATAACCATAAAGCTATCTATAAACAGATAACAAAGGAGATCACTTGTCTCATAAAAATATTTAAAGAAAAAAGATTACTAATAAACAAGCTATATATTATTAATACAGTTTTTATTTTAAGATTTTTCTACAAAATACTTAATATATTTATATACCAAAACACATGTTCAAAAATTACTAGCAAATATATACAAGATATTAAGTACAAAGCTAATTTAACAAGCCATATCTCTAATACAACTATATTTTACCACCAAATATATAGGCTTAAACAACTTAATGATATACAAGTACAAAACTATATATCTGTATTATATATCCAAATTAACAATTATACCATATACTTATAGCATCTACAAAATACTACTATAATATCAACTAATATACTATAGTCTCTACAATTTATTCTATCTACCAAATATAATTATATACTTACAGTACAAGTAATTTATACAGCATATCAACTCAATCTTGCAATTTTAAATCTGTCTAATTTATAGCCTATATCAACTAAATATTCTGATACAACAATTGATTAACTAATCCAATACTGTCAAAACTTTAATTGCATAAAAACTTTTACAAACTATGCAAACATTTATACAATTGAACAGCTTACAAATTATACAAATATACAACTACTTACTTGATACTAACTGGTTTATAAAACTTAAAAAATTATATCAGAATAGATACCAAGGTGATTTCTAAAGCTTTACAAAATATTATTAAAACCTACTACACTATATATTTTAACTATAAGTCTCAAACTATTCATTATTAACAATATCACACTAGTACGAACTAGCTGGATATTAAATACAATTCAAAATATACTAATTATAGAAAAAGTTTTTAAAACTAAGATACCAAGAAACAATATACAAGTTACATATTGGCTACCTTCTACCTCTAATACCAATACTCTGCTATCTAGCTGCTATACTTCTTGTATATTAACAACAGCATAGACAATATATTATTATTATTTCTATATAATATTGTATTACAATTCAAGCTATATATTTAAAATATTTATACACTAATATCTCTAACCTAAATTTCAACTACCTTCTCTTCAATAAGACTATAACTAAAACAAATTTCAAGATAACAAGGCCTTTTACTCTATATTGATCTTCTTATATTATAGTTACTTTTAACTAGATATTTAAGCAGAGTCCTGCTCAAGCTTAATTAAATCATCTAGTACAAATTAACTCACAAGCATCAAAACTCAGTTTTATATATATGTTGTACATAATAATACAAATACACCATGCTCTTTAGTATCATTCATGTGAACTCTTACTCTAACAAATATATTATTTGCAGCTCATATTACTTTTTGGCTCTCTATAACCAGAATATATCTAGTTAGAATAATTTTAATATTATTTATAGCACCATCTAAATACCAGATAACAATTCTAACTTCACACTCTATACAATTAATATGATTAATCCAATTCTACAAACTATGCCTAACTTTAATCTAAGCTTACAAAAACAAAATTTCTGGCTACTTAAACAATTTATATATACTATTATAATATACAAAAATATTATAATCAAATTTGACTAATTGAAACCAAGTCAAGGTCCTATTGTTTTAATGTATGATACAGACTATAACATCAAACAACACAATAATCTAGAACTTATCTCTTATGCACTTGATAACAATAACTTTTTTATAAGCTGAAATAGTATAATTTTTGAATACAAAACTTGTCAATTCATTTGACATATATAAAATGCAAACAATATAGCTAAGCAACATTTTTTAAAAGAGCCCAAACTTGAAATCAGATATGACAAAACACAGACTAGAAACTACTACATAACTTTATAAACTACAACAAACCACATACTTAGTCTATATATCCTAAACTATTACAAATTAAAAACTTCAAAATCAAGTTCCTTCTTAATGAACTATTTATATTTCTCAATCTATATTTCTGATATCCAAAAACTTATATTAATCTAATATGTAAAATGTGTTATACAAAAATTGAAGATAATACTTATTGGCTTATTTGCAATAAAAATTAGATTATTATATATCAACTAATTCATAATACTATCAATAAGTTTCTAAATAAACAAAATATACACCAACAAACTGTTTTTGCAATTTTACAAAGATTTTAATATCTTTAAACATTACTCTTTCTATAGCAGCAATACAAGGTTTTGCTCTATCTAATATCAAGAAGCTTACTACTTTATCTAAGATTTATTATACCTAACTATTGTATAAGATCTCTAAGAATATTTACAAAATAATATGGTAAGCATGATATATTGCAATGCATCAGCAGAATACAACAACTAACACACTTACTATATTCTCTTCAGAACACCCTTTCACATTACAATATAGTATAGCAAGATTCAACAAGTAGACAACTATTTTCTCTACTACTAAGATATCAACATCTTACATCACTACTATAAATCTAGATGAGATCTGTTAGCCTACTCTAGTAGAGTTTTAGACTAAGAATAAAATAGTTCTAGCTATAGATCTCTGTAGTAATTCATATAACTCATTATATTAATATAAAACACAAATTATTCAATAAAGACCAAGGCCAGGTTTTACTCTTAAAAAAAAAAAAACAACACTTATAAGTACTATTATATAAAAAAACAGTGTGGTTAAATCTTAACAAAAAGCTCACTCTTATATTATTGTATAGAATAAAAAGATGAATTATTCACTCTCCAAATTTAAGTACTTTTTAATAAATTAACCAGAGTTTTTTTTATAGATTTGGTTAAGTTTAGATAAGAAACTAATCACTTTTCCAGTTTTGCAGTATTTATAATACAATTTACTATAAAGTGTACTTATGGTGATTTGCATCTATTATATGTTTCTATTATGTTTTTAAATGTTTCTGAGCTTTTATAAGTTTTGTATATAAAATTTTTAATTCACAAATTTTCTGATTAGGGTTATTATTTAGAGTTATAATTAGAGTTTAGGAAGGATTTTGGGTGTAGAACTTTCTTAAAACATCTCGTACTAATTAATTAAATTAATTAGCTAGTTCTTGAGTTAATGTATTCATAAATGTAAAACACCATAGATATGTGTTAGTAAAAGTCTAATTTCATTATTTTTATTTATAATACAGTATATCTTCCCAAAACTGATCCTGTCAAACTGATAACCTATTATACCCAATAAAACATTGATCCACTATATCTGTTCCATAATTTGAATTTGATAACCTGCTATTTCAGATAACCGATTCTCAAAAGATTAGATACCTATAAGATATCGAGTTTGTCAGGTATTATAAATCAATTTGATTGGCTCAAATCGAGCTTTGTGTAACCAAGTAAATATAATAAATATAACCTAGCCAATTATATTTATTTATAATCATGTGACCAGTGAGCTATTGGTATCTTAAATCTGATAACCTCTTAAAACTGATACCAAAGCTATCCACCATGCATATCAGATTTGAGAGGGTGTACTATATTCTATTTATTATTTTTTGCCCAAAAATGATGCTTTGCAGTTCCATTAGACACGTCTTTGGGATTTTTTAGGATACTTATAATTAAATCATAGTCTTCCTGGGTAATTATTGCTTTCCTTTGTTGCTTGGGTTTACGACTTGACAAAAATTCAGATACCAGTTGATCAAAAGCGGCACGCAAAATAAAAGGAAAATCACTGTTTGTATCCATAATATTGATTATTTGTTGAGGTTTTTAATAAAACTAAGCTACTAAAGTTTCAATTTCTTAGGATCTCATAACAGTGGGTAAAGTTTTTTTTTTAATTCACTTTTTTTTTTTAATTATTAAGCACAATTTATTAAAAGTTTTTTTTTAAATTTACTTTTTTTTTAATTACTAAGCACGATTTATTAAATGAATGATTGTATCATTTTATGCATCGGGAATTAAATTTTAACAAACAAATTATTTATTTTACTTCCCGATCTGAACCACAATAAGCGAACACATGCTTGATCTATTTTACGGAATAGCAAACTATAATAAATCAACAGATATTGATCATCATTATACAGATTCTTAATCTGGGTAACCCGCTTAAGAATTCCAAAACCGGCTACTCCGATTCTAAATTGGGACAGCCGGATTCAGAATCAGGATGATTCCTATCCGGAGTACAACATATATATTAAATATTAACTCTGGACATACAATGCTGTGCATTTGCCTAGTAGCAACTATATAAATAGGATTTATAGAATGCTGGGTAGTTAGAGTTTTAGAAATTTAGGGATTTTAGTTTTTGTATTTGGTCTTTAGTTTTAGTGCGTTAGGAACGTACTAGGTTGATTAGTAAATAGAGATATTTGTTCTGTTAGTGTTTGGGACACAATAAAGGGATATTGGTTTAGTGTTTTATGTGTGATAATAATCAATTGGTTTCTCATATTAATGCTTATAACCCTAAGCTAAATTGGCTCAGCTGATATAAAGTCTCTCACTGGTCATAATACCACTTATTCTATAGAATATCTGAAAAGGGTACAAATGTTTTGCTGATTGTTTCCAATTATAATTATATTTAGCCAAATATTTTACATACATACGTACGTATATACGTATGAACTTCATTATTTCGAACTTATTAATAGAAAATAAATATAAATCTTTCAAAAGAAAATTAATAAAATATTAAATATTGTACTTGCATGTCCAATCTCTAGTTAACGTAAATAGAAAGTAATATTAAAAAGTTCAAGATTTAATTAGCTTTATAAAAATAATAAATAGAATATAGTACACCCTCTCAAATCTGATATGCATGGT